CCTCCCGGCCGAGGACACGGACGCCAGCGAGCGCCACGCCGGGGACGCCGACGGGGACGCGCCCACCGAGGACGACTACTGGGGCGGCTACGGTGGCGGGCGCGCGTGCCCGGGACCCACATGCCGAGTGCCCGCAGACTCCCGGGGCCCCACGCGCGCCCCCGTGCTGCTGCGCTCCCCGCTGCTCTGCCTGCTGGTCCTGGCGCTGCAACACCTCTGACGGCCGCGGACCCGCGCCTCCGGCCTCGCTGCCTCAGTTTACCTTCGGCGCGGCGCTATGTCCCCATCCCGGGGCTGCAGGACCCCGGGGGCTGCTGTCCGTAGAGTATCTTCCACCAGCACAGCCTTGGGCGTCCCTGGAGGGGCGTCCCCGCCAGGGCCAGGCGGCCCGGACCCCGCTGCCCCCGGCCCTCCTCGGCCTTCCGCCGCCGGAGGAGCACTGTTCTCCTGAGTCTACCCTGGACACTCTCTAGGGCCCTGCGAGAGCTTTCCTCTCCGCCACGGCTCCTGTTGGTGACGACGATCAAAAGAAATTGTTTCGGAAAAAAATTTATTAAAAATTCTATTATTTTACTCCTGGAAGATTGTTTGGGGCTACAGACGTCAAAAGTGGGAGCAGAGTTTAGACGGGCAAGGACCCGGGCCATGGGGAAGTCGAGAAAGAGAAGACTTAGAGACCCCACTTTATCCTGGGAGCGGGAGCCCGGGTGGGGGAAGTCTTGACAGCCAGACGATGCGGGGCCTGCACGTCCTTGGGCAGTGCACAACCTGCACAGCTGTCCTCAGCCACCCTGTGGACACTCCGGGTGGAAGGCATCAGAGATGGAGCAGGTCAGAGAAGCATTTCTCCAAGCAGGAGAGAAGAGAGACTGAGCAGCTAGCGGGGTGGAAGGACAAGGACCCCAAATTGGGTTCCTGGCCAGCCAGAGGGCTGAGCAGGGGCTTGGACTTTCCGGTGTGTGGAGGAGGGCCGAAGGACTTCCGCTGAGGGCTGGGCGGGGCTCGGGAGACAGCAGGGGCCGTGGTCGCGCGCACTTAGGGTTAAGGATGTAGCCCTGAGCCAGGCATGGCGGTGCGGGCCTATCCCCCCCCCCCCGGGCACTCCTGGACGCTGAGGCAGGAGGATCGCAAGGTTGAGCCCAGCCTGAGTAGCTTAGCCAGACCCTGTCTCAAAAAAGCAAAGAACGGGTGGGGGTGCGGCTCGGGGCCACGGCCCTAGGTCCAACCTCCAGCGCTGGAAAAACAACAACGGACGTCGATGTCGTCGGGCGTGGGAGGCGAGGTCGAAGGGCAGGACCACCTAGTGCGCGCTGCAGGAGGCCGCTGAGGTCCCGGTGCGCTGGCGCCCGACCCAGGGTTTTCTTTCAGTCTTGGGGACGGCACCATACCCCGCCCGTTTTCATTTCTGTTTTTAGATTCTGAGACAGAGTCTTGCTAAATCACTGAGCGGCCCTGGCTAGGCTGGAACTTGCGACCCTCCTGCCTCAACCTCCCAGAGTGCTGGGCTGGCAGGCCCGGCGGTGGGGGTTGGTGGGAGTCGCTGCGGGCCAGGGCCTGGGGAGTTTGGGGGCTCCAGGCCGCGCCCCTGACCCGCTGTGCTCGCGGGCGGGACTGGGAGCCGAGGCAGGCGGAGCCGTGCGGCGGAGGGGCTGCTGGGAAGCGCACAGCAGCCCAGGTCGCGGAATTAGCGCCGTGAAATATTCATGGCCGAGCTCGGGCCCAGATGCTATTTAGAGCCGCAGAGCTGGAGGGAGGCACCGCCCCCGGACGGACCCCGCCGCCGGCACGTGCGCACCCACGCGTGGACATGCGCTCACACGCACGCGCGGGCCGCCCGCCCGCGCCCGAGCACGCACACCCTGCGCCGAGCGACCCCAGCCCCCCAGCGACCAGACTCCCAGCTTGGCGCCTGAACTGGCGGCGGCGTTCAAGGCCACCCAGCCCAACCACCACCCGGGC